AAGAAAGAAAGAAAGAAAGAAAGAAAGAAAGAAAGAAAGAAAGAAGGTGGGAGTGAGGGAGGAAGGAAGGGAGGAAGGAAGGAAGGAAAAGATGGAGGGAGAGGGTCAGGGAGAGTCAGCTGAAGTAGCCTGCAGTGCTGCATTTAACCACTGCACCACCTCGGCTCCTTTATATCCATGTTTGTCCACCTCAGCAATTTTAAAATGAGCAGGGACTTCAACACCCAGAATTCTGGGAACTGAAGTCCACACCTCCTAAAATTGTTGAGGTTGCCTTAACTCTGGCCCTGCCCCAGAAAGCCCCGCCCTCTTTCTACTCTCACCAGTGTACAATGCACATTAAAAAGAGGAGTGGGCTGAATAACATGGTTGAGGTCATTATCTTGACTCTTTTAATCCCGCAGCCCCCACCCCCCCTTTAAAAGTTTTGCAAATTCTGGCCTAAAGAGATGGGTAGCCCTTTTTCAATCCTTCCTTTTAATTTCCTCTCTCTTCTTAAGAGTCGTTTTAGTGGATGAGTCAAATCTCCCGTTTCTTTTCTAAGCTGCTCCGAGAGGCCAAAAATCCCTTAGTCATGACAGCCACTCCTCGACTTACGACCACAATTAAGTGGCTAACCACTGATTTTACCACCTTTTCTTGACACGGTTGTTATGTGAATCGGTACAGTCGCTAAGTGAATCACACGGCCATTAAGCAAATCTGGATTCTCCCCCCTCCCATTCTGACTTTGCTTGTTGGAAGCCAGCTGGGAAAGTCACACATGACGATCACGTGACCCCACCGAGGCTTTGCAACCATCATAAGTACATGCCAGTTGCCAAACGTCTGAATTTTGATCCCGTGATCAGGGGGAGGCTGCGAAGACGGTAAATGAGAAGGCAGGTTGCCATTTTTTCTAGTGCTGTTGTAATTTCAAATGGCCAATAAACCCAGGGTGCCTGTGGGGTGCTTAGATCCAGCTAGTAAGGCCAGCCTGAAAACAGCCAAGGACTGGCACGCAATGCCCCTGCCAGAGAAAACATGTTCCGTTGTTGCTGGCAGAGGGCAATCAAAACAAACTAGAAACACAAGCAAAAGGAGAAATGTTTCCCCTTTTGCATTTGAACATAGCAATAACACCAGCACTTAGATTTATATACCGCTTTACAGCCCTTTCTAAGCGGTTTACAGAGTCAGCATGCAAGAAGGGACAGGAAAGGAGAAAGGGAAAGAGAAAGAAAAAAAGAAGGGAAGATGGGAAGAGAGCAAGGAAGGGAAAAGAAGGAAAGGGGGAAGGAAGAAGGAAGAAGAAGGAAGAGGGAGGGAAGAAAGGAAGGAAAGAAAGAAGGAAAAGGAGAAAGGGAAAACGGAAAGACAAAGAAAAAGAAGGAAAGTTGGGAAGAGAGCAAGGAAGGAAAAAGAAGGAAAAGGGGAAGGAAGAAGGAAGGAGAAGGAAGAGGGAGGGAAGGAAGGAAGGAAGGAAAGAAAGAAGGAAAAGGAGAAAGGGAAAGAGGAAAGAGAAAGAAAAAAAGAAGGGAAGATGGGAAGAGAGCAAGGAAGGGAAAAGAAGGAAAGAGGGGAAGGAAGAAGGAAGGAGAAGGAAGAGGGAGGGAAGGAAGGAAGGAAAGAAAGAAGGAAAAGGAGAAAGGGAAAGAGGAAAGACAAAGAAAAAGAAGGAAAGTTGGGAAGAGAGCAAGGAAGGAAAAAGAAGGAGAGAGGAGAAAGAAGAAGGAAGCAGAGGGGGAAGGGAAAATGAGGGAAGGAAGGAAAAGGAGAAAGGGAAAGACAAAAAAGAACGGAAGATGGGAAGAGAGCAAGGAAGGAAAAAGAAGGAGAGAGGAGAAAGAAGAAGGAAGCAGAGGGGGAAGGGAAAATGAGGGAAGGAAGGAAAAGGAGAAAGGGAAAGACAAAAAAGAAGGGAAGATGGGAAGAGAGCAAGGAAGGAAAAAGAAGGAGAGAGGGGAAAGAAGGAAGGAGAATTAAGGGGGAAGGGAAAAGGAGGGAAGGAAAGAAAAGGAGAAAGGGAAAGAGGAAAGACAAAGAAAAAGAAGGAAAGTTGGGAAGAGAGCAAGGAAGGAAAAAGGAGAGAGGAGAAAGAAGAAGGAAGCAGAGGGGGAAGGGAAAATGAGAGAAGGAAGGAAAAGGAGAAAGGGAAAGACAAAAAAGAAGGGAAGATGGGAAGAGAGCAAGGAAGGAAAAAGAAGGAGAGAGGGGAAAGAAGAAGGAAGGAGAATTAAGGGGGAAGGGAAAAGGAGGGAAGGAAAGAAAAGGAGAAAGGGAAAGAGGAAAGACAAAGAAAAAGAAGGAAGGATGGGAAGAGAGCAAGGAAGGAAAAAGAAGGAGA